ATGAGGCGACCTAGCTTATGCAGAAATATTTGTGTGATTTTACTTGTTGATCCATGAATAAAATTGTGAAACTCACCGGGTTCTTTGGAAGTAAGCTTCACTCCCATAATAATCGGGATTCACCAAAATTAATTTATCTGGAGCATCGCGCAATTCAATCGCACATTCATTTGAGCCGGATAAAGTATATTTCATACCAAATTTATAATCGTAAACCAACTCACGATCATTCAACTTTCCATCCCTAATCTTTATTGATGAAACCGAATCTATTGATGTGATGGTGAACTATTGAAAATTTAACAATAAAAAATATCGCATTTCAATTTTCAATCACTTTTAAACAATTTTCCCGATTTGTATGAACTTACAAAAATTTTTCTGGAACCAATGGATTCAGTCAATCCGTCAATGTAACCTCCATCTTTCTTTGTAATGGTTATCCTTTTAAAGGGCTCAACCTGTGTTATATATAATGTCACATTTCGATCTTGTCCTTCAGTAATAGTGATTTTTAGAGCATTTATCAAGCCCGTCAATTCTTTATTAGGCCGGCCTATAAATTATTCATAGAATGAATTATTTGAGCCTTTCGGCACGTTCTAATTAGTCTTCAAACAGACCTGAAAATACTGCAGTCATTTCCAAATATTGAGTCGATCCATTACCAGTATCAACCCATCGATGAATTTTGTTATTTGTTTCATTGGCGAAATATGATATTATACGATAAGGTCCCATCAATAGTGCGCTTTTCACGATTCGGGTCACCATTTCATGTTCACTGTGGAATTGGTAATTCCGCAAATCTCCATCATAATAACAGTGTTTCAATGCTAAATTGCAATAAATCCTTTTTCAGTTCATTGTCTCACTATTTTTTCAGTACTTACGAAAACAGACCAGCTCAATACGTTGAGTTTCGAATTGACGGAATATTTCTATTGGATTTGCTTCATGATTGATTAAAGTTACAATTCTGTTTCTTTCATCACTGAATATTGACTCTTCTATGTAAAAATCATTTGAAGATCCTTCGATTGTCTACATGAAGTTAGATAATTTTCCAAGAATTAAATTGAGCTTATAAATGAACTCAAACTTACCTCATAATTCAATCTTGCTTTTATCAAAAAGTTAGTTTCGTTTCCAAAAGGCTGTTGCAAATCAAATTTTTGGTTTTCTATTCGGAAAAGAAATCGAAATGAATTCATTTTTATTATGAAAGTAATTTATCAGAATGCTTACCATTAAGGACTCGCCACACTATTGGATCAAATCCATTTGAAGATTTGATCGAATCATATAAAGTTATAAATATTAATACAAAATATTTGTTTACAAACATTTTTCGGGTGAAGCTTTAAAATAAACACAATAAGAATATCGAACTTCTAACTCTAATACTTTAAATGGTTAAAGTTTAATAAAGCTTATTTCCATGGGCTTTCGCCTAGTTCACCAATTCTTTAATATACGCCTACAGTTCGCAAACTCGTCATATCTGTTTTACGCCTCTTTAAAATTAGATCGGATGCGGAAAGGGGAGGAAACTCAATCAACAATCAAGAAATAGTTCACTTAATTGGATTTAATGTTTAGGCAAAATGATTTTTAATACTAATTAGTAATTATCATTCGATTTCAGATAAGTTAATTTTTCAACAAAAGTATTTTTTTTTCTGGTTCTTTGCTGGTCATGTTCTTGTACTTTTTATTGGTTTCAAGAACTTAGAAATATATTTTTTGTTGTTTTATGTTTGGTTATTATTCTGGTTGTTCATATTAAGACACAACTAATTAGGTTTCGAAATTACAAATTGACTCAACGAAGTGCCAGCCTTCAATTGAGGCACAATTGGCCTACACTGATTTGTATGATCCTTCAAGATAATTAGCTGATTAGCTCAGTAACACGGTATTATATGAAATTTGTGCACTTTTAGAGTGACGGTGAAACGGCTAAATAACAGCGATTCATTTAAAAAACATACTTTTATTGAAAGAAAAAATTTAATAAACAGATAAAAAACATTTCTGTCTTGATTTTATCATAGCAATGTTATTAGGAATCAGATACTTGATTTTAATAATTTAAGCGAAACGTAATCACGAAGAGAATAATTTCGCCATTGAAACAGTTTAAAGTCAAATGCAAACTTAGCAAATATCACAATAGTGATCAATATGGAAAATATGAGGAAGAATACGCAAGTTGAGCTCGATGACGCCTTTGCTGGGTTATCAAAGCGTATACCATCTCCAATCGTAACATCAACTACAGCAAATTCAATACCCACAGAGCTGAATCGACTTCCATTCAAATTGAGATAAGATTTTTCAATTACTTTCAAAGGAACTTCATCCGCAAGCCTGGATAAACGCTGATCTGAATTACTAAACACCATGCAATCCAATCCATTGTTATCTTTATCTGGTAATGAGTCTCCATGAGCAATTCCAAGACATAAATAATGGCCTCTTTCACAGGTAATAACATAACTGAAAGATGATAAGTTTCGATGATATCAAGAAATGCATCTAAACAATTAATATTAACTGACCTTAGATTGACTTTAGAAGCTTGAAGACGTAAACATTCATCAATGGTTGATGTATGAATCTGGCCAGATTCAGATGATTGGATATTAAATTTATGCAAAACTCCTTTCTTTGATTCTAAGCAAAAACGATTTATTAATTGAGAATTTGATTTTAATTCCAAGAAACTTACCAAAGTGGGTAACAAATGAATCGACAATTTCAACCTTTGCCACCATATTTGAGTCGTAAAAGTTCAATTTAATCCAGTTTATTCTCAAAAACGACACATTCAATTTATCAATAAGCAAACTTCGGATTGCATCTTTGACATTATGAATATCGGCTTGCAATTTGTGAATTTTGTTTGACATCAAGTGATCTGTTCATTAGAATGAAAAATATTATCTTATTATTGACTAGCGAATGTTAAACAAATATAATTTTTTACTTAATAATGAAATGTCTAAACGGAGAATAACTTTGTTCTTTCTGTCTTTGAAGCATTGATAATATGAACTGATTATCCGATGTAACTCATCTCCGTCTAAATAAGTCGAAATTTCAAGCAAGCACACCAATCTAACTTCGATGAGGTGAAAATTGGATGAGATCTAATAGAAAAATGCCATTATTTAATTTTGCAATTAGTTTGCATTTAAACTTATCTCACCTCATGCGAGAAGAATTTTGAATAAAGATCGATTTGAACACAGAAATCTCCGATTCTTCCTCTTTCCATGGAAAATCTCGACTTAAGGTAAGAAAAAATATTTTACGAAAACGCAGAAAGCTTCTTGATTTTGTATAAAATGAAACTTACGACATTATGTGGCTCTAAATAGGTTTTTACAGTCAAATCATACTTTACATTACCGACCATTGCATTGTATTCAGTCTCAATCAATAATTTTTTGCTGTGTGATTCAACCTAATTAATGTACATAAAAATTAACATTTTTCATTGTTTGATTAATGAAAATTTTGCTGTACTCACCGGACTCTTGGGGAAATAAAGTTCCTTTGCAAACTCCTTTGCATAATTTTCTGAAGCCACATAATTGAATTCATCAGCAAAACTGCTATATTCAATGGCACATTCATTGCGACCAGATGGAATGTATTTCAAACCAAATTTACGGTCATAAACGAATTTGAGGTTGAATTGTTTATCAATGATTTCGACCGAGGTAACTGTATCCAATGATGTGATAGAAAGCTAATGACAATCCGAAAGTAATAAAAAATTAATAAGTTAATTAAAATTAGTTGAATAATAGAACAGCAATAATGTTAAATATTGTTGGATAACAAACTTCTCGGCATAAGTTAAATAAATCATTTTCTATTTCTAGCAATTATTTCGTCGTTTTGAGCTACTCTTCATCATCAAAAGCACAGATCTTGCACAGGCTAGCAATTGAATAAAACTCATGCTTATATCATTTTACTTGCAATAGTATCAAGCATATTGTAATATTATACAGCCGAGCTTGACACAAGGTGAGTGGAAACCACTTACCTTAGTTATTCCATGTTCTTCATCAACTCCCAATTCGTTATATTTAGTAATGGATTCACTGAATTTGCAGTGAATTCCTTTTGTTGATATTGAAGTGTTTGCTTTCACTAAAGACTCAGTTTTTTCTATGCATAAAATTAGGTCTACTCTATTATGTCTTTCATCAACAAGAGGATTGTTCTCACTATCACGCATTCCCATGCATTTAGTCCGGCCGGAATCTGCAGATTATTTATGGA